AAATTACAACAAAATTAGGTGGGGAAAATGGTAAATTGAGTTGTGATCCTAGTTTAACTTGAGATAAGAATTGGCACTCAGTAAGTGCAAGATGCCTATTTTTTGTGTGAATAAGAAAATTGGAGAGTGCATAAGATAGAAAGAGCTTTTGTCCTATGCCAAAAGGTATAACAAAACTAACGTTAAAACACCACACTTTTTAAAATTATTTTATTTGAAAATCAGTAGTAAAATAAAAAATAAAATTTACGCATTTCAAAACTACATATTTTTTTTACAACACACACATAATATGATTATTTTATTTTGTCAATTGAAGAATGAAACACATAAAGAAAAGAAAGTTATAAAAAAATCAAAATAGTACTCCTTAACTTGTGTCTTTTGGCTTGGAAATAAGAGTTAGAATGGATTTTAATTGTGTATCATGTATGCCTCTTTGGGTTAACACTTAACACTATGTTAGGTTTCAAGAATAATAACGAAGGGAAAGAAAAGAAAATAAGAAGAAAAATAATTTTGTTTGTTTGGTTAGAAAGAATATGAAAAGAAAAATAAATAAATAAGCAGAATATATTAAAAGGATGGAAAATCAAATTTATCACATATATTTTCTTTCCTTGTGAAACGACATAAGAAATGTGTAGAAACTAGAAAGAGGATGATAGATGTTGCAAAAGGTTAAATCTGCTTTTGAACCTATAAAATACATGGTAAGTGATTTTTGTTTTTTGTTCAAGTAAAATACTCCTTACGTCTCAAATTATAATGCATGTTCACTATTTACAGGGTCAAACTTCATTCACTTTCTTTCTCTATTTTCGTTAACAATTTGATAAAATAGAATACTATTGTCACTACTAGTTTTATAGATCTTTTGATGTAGTATTTTAATATGTAATTTTTATTTTTTTAACTATATGTCATTTGTCATATAAAATGATTTGCATCGTAAACCGAAACAGACGTTACAAAATGGGATGGAGGGAGTACATTTTTGTTAAGTCATCCTTGTAAAATATTTTTTTTCTTATAGTCCCTTCACTATTTATTTTAAATTTAGAATTAATGTTGAATTTTATTTTGGTCCCGAGAAAATTAGTAATTTTAAATATTTTAAAAGACCAATAATAAAAATCGTTCAATTTTACGGAAAAAAACGTATTTAACCTTATTGAAAATTACCATGTTCTCCTCGATAGAAAAGTTGTTGGTTGAGTAGAGTCCCTTATCTGCAAATGCCCCTTCAAGAATGAGGCCCCAAAATCCCCTCATCACTCTATCTTCTCCAAAAATAGGCTGTCCCGACCGTCTTTAGGCTAATACGGAGGAGCATTAGCTCTGATTCAATTTACAGAACTCATTCGATAAGATGGCCGCTGACTCAGTACTGAGAATGTCAGTGGCTTCCCCAGCTTCTTCGTTCTGCAATTTCCATGCCTCAAGAAGGAAGCCGGCGACGCTCCCTGGTGCCGCCGGCTCCGGCCATCGGCGACTCCGCCGCTCCAGGGTTCAGCCGCTCACATCTTCTGCCTCTTTGTCGGATTTCTTTGGGAACTTTCAGATTAGGGCAGCCCCTGGTCCGACTGATATGAAGTTCCACCAGAAACGAAGCCAAAAGAGCAGGTTCTCCGTCTTCGCCATGGCCGCTGATGGTATTTTCCACCATTTCTGTTCTCTCTGATCAAATTCGTTTCTGGGTTTGTGAATTTAGGGTTCTTGATTGGCAAAGATTCAATCTTTCTTGTTTTTTTTTTAAATTCTGTGTTTGCCCTTTGAAATTTCATTGCTACATGTGTCTATCTTATGTTTTCCTTTTCTTTCCTTTGATGATTAACTGAAGATCAGCCTTTTATTTTCATTTATCAATTCTGTCAAGACATTGTGTAGAATTGGAAAATCCTTCTTGCTATCTTGCCCATGGTTACATACATGCTTTGCATTGTGACCATGGCACTAAGATTCTGAAATTTTAGGGCAAAAATAACCCCACAAAAAGTTCATGAAATTTGAAATGGCTATGCCAAAACTCAGTCTTCTGCATTTACTACCTCTGTTTCCAAATAAAATTTCCCATTACTATTCCAAGGTCACCATAACTTTTGTTTTTTTACGTCTAGAACTTTTGATGTAGCTTTTAAATATGATTATGTCAAAACTCAAGTCTTTTGCATTTATAAGATGTTGGTTCATGAGAAGTGCCATTGCAGATGCCAAGAGAATGGTGCCCTTAAAGGACTACCGAAACATCGGAATCATGGCTCATATTGATGCAGGGAAGACAACCACGACGGAACGGATCCTCTACTACACAGGCAGAAACTACAAAATCGGCGAAGTCCATGAGGGGACCGCCACGATGGACTGGATGGAGCAAGAACAAGAACGCGGGATCACCATTACTTCTGCTGCGACCACGGCCTTCTGGAACAAGCACCGGATCAACATAATCGATACCCCTGGCCATGTCGACTTCACACTGGAAGTTGAAAGAGCCTTGAGGGTTCTAGATGGTGCTATATGCCTGTTCGATAGTGTTGCTGGGGTAGAACCCCAGTCGGAGACCGTTTGGAGACAGGCAGACAAATATGGGGTCCCACGGATATGCTTCGTTAACAAAATGGACCGTCTCGGGGCAAACTTCTACCGTACCCAAGACATGATCGTCAAGAATTTGGGTGCGAAACCGCTTGTGATTCAAATCCCGATTGGTTCGGAGGATAATTTTCTTGGAGTTGTCGATCTCGTGAAGATGAAGGGGGTAGTTTGGTCAGGGGAGGAGTTGGGGGCCAAGTTTGTGTATGAGGAGATCCCTTCGGAACTTCAAGAACGAGCTGAGGAATACCGGGCAGAGATTATCGACACCATAGTTGAATTGGATGACGAAGTCATGGAGAAATATCTTGAAGGGACCGAACCCGACGAGGAAACGATTAAAGAGTTGATCAGAAAGGGAACCATCTCGGGCTGTTTTGTTCCGGTCTTATGCGGGTCCGCTTTCAAGAACAAAGGGGTTCAACCTCTTCTTGACGCCGTCGTTGACTATTTACCTTCACCCATTGACTTACCCCCAATCAAAGGCAGCGACCCCGAAAACCCAGAAGTAGCCGTTGAAACACCGGCTAGTGACAATGAACCGTTCACCGGTCTGGCTTTCAAGATCATGAGCGACCCTTATGTGGGGTCGCTCACGTTCGTGAGGGTATATTCGGGAAAACTTGTGGCAGGATCTTATGTGCTGAATGCTAACAAGGGAAAGAAGGAAAGGATTGGGAGACTGTTGGAGATGCATGCTAACAGCAGGGAGGACGTCAAATCGGCCTTAACAGGTGACATTGTTGCCCTCGCCGGCCTTAAAGACACCGTCACCGGAGAAACTCTGTGCGACCCAAACAAACCCGTGGTTCTTGAACGGATGGATTTTCCGGACCCGGTTATAAAAGTTGCCATTGAACCCAAGACCAAAGCTGACATTGATAGGATGGCGGCCGGGTTGGTGAAGCTAGCTCAAGAAGATCCGTCTTTTCACTTTTCTCGCGACGAAGAGATAAACCAGACGGTGATTGAAGGGATGGGTGAACTGCATCTCGAGATCATCGTCGATCGGCTCAAGAGGGAATTTAAGGTGGACGCCAACGTTGGGGCCCCACAAGTGAACTACCGCGAGAGCATTTCGAAAGTCTCGGAAGTGAAATATGTCCACAAGAAACAATCTGGCGGACAAGGGCAGTTCGCGGACATAACCGTGAGGTTCGAGCCGATGGAACCGGGCGGCGGGTACGAGTTCAAGAGCGAGATAAAGGGCGGGGCAGTCCCGAAAGAGTACATCCCGGGGGTGATCAAGGGGTTGGAGGAATGTTTGAGCAACGGGGTGCTGGCCGGGTACCCGGTCGTGGATGTCCGGGCGGTGTTGGTCGACGGGTCCTACCACGACGTGGACTCGAGCGTTCTGGCGTTCCAGCTCGCAGCTAGAGGGGCATTTCGGGAAGGGATGAGGAAAGCGGGTCCGCATTTGTTGGAACCCATAATGAGGGTTGAGGTTGTCACTCCAGAGGAGCATCTTGGCGATGTTATTGGCGATTTGAACTCAAGGAGAGGTCAGATCAACAACTTTGGCGATAAACCAGGTGGCCTCAAGGTATTTCTTTAAGGCTTCTGAACACTCTCTCAGTACCCAAATCTATTTCCCAAATTACCCCTTGATGTAACGAGTAAAAATATAATGTGATAGGTAGAGTATAGATTAATAAATTTGGTGGTGTTACCTAGGGGTATTTTGGTCTAAGAATAATTCTCCAACATCCCGATGAATAATTTTGCGTGTGTGGGCAGGTGGTGGATGCGTTGGTTCCGTTGGGGGAGATGTTCCAATACGTGAGTAGCTTGAGAGGGATGACGAAAGGGAGAGCGTCTTACACTATGCAATTGGCCAAGTTCGACGTTGTCCCTCAACACATCCAGAACGAGCTCGCCACCAACAAGGCTGAACCCGTTGCTGCTTGAAGTATTATGTTATATTTTGTCTCTTGAGTCTTTGAAATGATTTATCATGTGCATATTCATTCCTCAGAATTTGGGTAGAAAATTGAAGTTCTTATAGGAGGGCAAAGAAACTGCAAGGTGCACATGAATTATTGACAAAGATATTGTAAACGATCTTTATTGACAAAGTGCATATTTTTATTGTGTTCAGAATGCTTTGATAAATTACTTCATTACCAATTACTCCGTAACTGATGATTCCTCTATGCCATTTACCAAACAGCCCTTTATCAATAGTGTTACCTTGTTTACTTAATACATTGGTACATTGTTGTAAAACTACTACACATGAATGTGTATTGATGGACAAAAAAAGAAATACTCGTTTAGAAATGGATAAACAAGTGTTCAATTCTTGAAATCAATCCACTAGAAATGCATTTCCCATGGAAAAAACCCAACCAAAGCCTCAATATGCCCAGAAGAAAAGGAAGAAAAAAAAAGAAAGACAAAATAAACAGTAACATATTACTTTCTTAGGAAACTATCACTCCAACACCAAAGCTGTGCTCTCTCTTTTGGCTCCAAAGATCAAATGGATTTTCCCACTCTTTATTATCGGATTTGTACGATTCCTGCACTGACCAATTTTTGGATCTTGTTCATCACGAGTGGGTTCTTCATGTGTTCTTGCGCAGCTTTCGGGTTCTCTTGCAAGTCCGACAGTACCTGCAGCATAACTCATAATTTAAGTCTCTAGTTTGCGGAAATTGCCATTCAAACATGGACTTTGATCCAACCATGACCAACAAACATAGCCACATCATCATACCTGGTTCATTACTGGATCAGTTAGAATGCTCTGGATTTCTGGATCCTGCATTGCCTTGGCCTGCAGGTTGAGTTTGAACCCAATGTTAGTACCAGTTTCACGACGTAAATTACAAGATGAGTTATTATTGTTTTCATTTATGACATAGGCCATAACAGGGTATTGAAACTTTACCTGTCTCTCCTTGAGCTCCTGTGGGGTTAGATCACCTCGGCTTGCTTTGTTTATTTGTGCAACACAGCTGATGTTCAACACCACTCTCAGTTATTATCATCATATGTTTAGGCAATGTTTGGTACTCAAGGAATAGTAGAAAAAGGAACAGAAATGCTACAGATAAAGGTTTTCAAATGCTTGGTTTCACCTTGAAAGATGCACAAGAAAATCAAATACAAGATACTCTCTCCGTCCCAAAATAGTAGTGTTATGAGACGACGAAGGGAGTATGATGTATCATGTTTGAACAGATTTTCCAATGTTCCGAAAAGGGTCCCTAGTAAAAACTAAATATTTCAACATTACCTCCGCACACCATCTAGTAATTCCGGGTTTTGAGGGTCAAGCTTCAATCCCTGCTGGTAAGTTTCCAAGGCTTTGTCATATTCTTTCATGAAGAACTGCACGGCACCCTTTCTGGTGTAGCCCTTCACAAATGTGGGATCAAGCTCGATGCATTTTTCAGCATCTTTGAGCCCCTCAGGCAATGCCCCCAGCTTGGTGTAACTAGCAGCCCTATTGCTCAATGCCTAAAACAATAAAAAAAATCAGTATAATATGACCAGAACACACCTAGCAATTGAAATGTAATGCCAAATAAAAGCAAATGGCAATATACCCTGGGATCTTTGGGATTCCTTCTTAGAGATTCTGTATAGCACTTGATGGCCTCTGGGTATTTCTGTTCTTTGAAGAATTTGTTACCTGAAGTTCAATATTGGGTAAGTATGAGCCATAAATAGCCAATAAAGAGAGAGCTGAGAAACAATGTTATACCTTTCTCCCGCTCCTCATCCGCAATCTGGGGATCAAAATATTCTTGCTGTTCCAAATCTTTCTTTGCTTTCTCGGCATCATTGAGCTTCTTCAGAGTGTCTGGATTGCGATGTTCCGTGAGAGCTTTCTGGAAGGTCTCGATTGCAGGGTCATAGTCCTTTGAGCATTTTGCCATCTTCACTAAAGCTGTCCCCTTTCTTGTCAAGGCCCTTGCAATCATTTTGTAATCAGACCTAAGCTCCCTTCCCCTCTCAACAGCTTGGTCACAATCTTTTATGCAATCCTCATACTTCAATTCATCAATGCAGATAAACATTAGCATTTCAAGATTAAAGCAAGCAGAGTTCACAAGTAAAAATTGCAGTAATTAAATAACCCACAGGTTAATATTAACAATACAAATCATCATTACAAAAATTAAGGCAAGATCATGACATGGGATGGCTTACATATGCAGTCACGACAGTACATCAACATATATTAATATTAAACAACAATAAGCCCAAGCTTAACTCAATAATAGCTAGCATTTAATCAATATTGAGAATGTTGGCGAATAAAATGCAGAAATGTTCTTAAACAAGCATCAAACTGAAAGCACGGATCAAAATCTTACAAGGTACTCTTATGATTATAAGAAGTATATAATTAAGGATTTAAAAAGAACATAAAAATGAAAATAATGTAATTTGGATAAGAATAATATACCTTTCCCATTTCCAAGTACACAGCAGCCCTATTAGTGATGAACGAAATATCGTCAGTGTCGAGCTCAATAGCCTTAGAATAGTGTTGAATAGCAGTCTCAAAACCCTTCTTTTTATAGGCTGCATTGCCGGATTCTTTCTCCTTCAGCGCCTGAGCCTTCCGATCCCTAACCTCTTTCTCCTCTTCTGACAGCTCCATCGGCTCTGGAACGGGCTTTGGCTCGGGCTCTGGACGCTTCACCTTCACAGGCTCGGACTCAGCCGGCCTCTTCCTCTCCGGCGAAGCCTCCGGCATCTCCACATCGTCCTCTGGGGTCCTAGTCTGCAAATTCACGCCTAACAGCACCCCAAATGCCTGCATCACCCTCTGATCCTTCAAATAGAGATTCAAATTGTTAGGATTTTTCTGAATGTCCTGCATCATCTTCACGAAATCGGGCTGCTGCAAGTAGGCCCGAGTAGTCGGGTCCCGGGTCAGCTTAACCCACATGTCCGGTCCAGAAAACGCATCCCCCATGGGATTAGAAGACGGCCTTCTGGATCGAGCCTGAGCGGACTGCGCATCGGCCAGGCCGGATTTCAGCGCGTCGTTGTTCGGATCGAACTCCAAACCCTTCTTGTAAGCAGAAACAGCCCCGTCGTAGTTGCGAAGTCCAAGGTGCGCCGCTCCGAGCCTGGAATATCCCTTAGACCAGTCCGGCTTGAGCTCGACGGTCTTCTGGGCGTCGGAGAGTGCGTCGGAGAAGTTGCCGAGGGAGGCATGGGCGGCGGATCTGTTGGAGTAGAGGACGTGATTGGTCGGGGCGAGGTTGATCGCCTCCGTGAAGTGGCGGACGGCCTCCGCGTAATCGCCGGCGGAGAACGCCGCGTTGCCTTTGCTTTTAGCTTCTTCGGCCATGAATCGCTCCTTCTATCAACGCAAATTGCAGCAGGGGCTGAGAGGGGGGGAAAGAAAGAATGGGGTTTTGTAGCCTTAGGTTATTGCAAACGACGGGAGAGTTCTAGATCTCTTCTGCTAAATGCGTCTAGAATGTTCTTTTTTTATACTCTTTATACTGATGATTTTATTTTCTTTAAAATATTAAAAAAATTAAAAAAAATATCAAAAATTTATGTAGAAGAAAAAGAAAATTGTAAATGGCACATTCTTTAAGCAAAATAGTATGATAATTACTATCTGAATTCCATAATGAAAGACACAATTAACCACTTAGATATAAGATGATTGATTGAATTTATTTTTATTTTATTTTTAAGATGGTGTTAAAATTAAAAAAAAACAAATACCTACACCATATATAATACTCCCTAACAAATTATATTAAAAGGTTTACTAAGAAAAGTAACATGATTATGATAATTATAGTTGAATTATTTAAAAGAGAACATACAAATTTAATCTTTTGAATAATTAATGTGTCTTTTTTTAAGGTTATGTGTTATAGAGTGTGAAGAGGAACTTCACCACCCTCTCTCACGCTCCTCTTTCATAACACCCTAAGCCTGACCAGGCGTTGCCCCAAAAGCCTTGACCACCATCACTACGTGATGACTTATTTGTAACCTATTTTTTATTTTAAATTTTAACTAATCAAAATTTTAGACATTCACATTTTATCATATTTATTCACATTTTATCATAACACATATTTTTTATTATTCTATATTTACACCCCGTTAAGCCTCGTCAAAACTCCCGTCAAGCCTGCCCTAACACGTCTTAAGAGACATGAGTATCTAAACTTCTTTCTTAACCTTAACAATCTCACGTCAATGTTTCTACTGATTGATTCTATTATCACCTAGCTAAAGTGACAATGATAGTGCCGCTGGTTCTTTATACTAATCCTAATATGATGTTCTATTCATAAAATTGATGGTTTTTGCCTCTTAAGTGTCCTCCTCCCCTTAACCCCCGTCTCCCACCCCAACCTCACCCTCTGCCATCTCCAAAGGTGTGTATTGTGTTTGGGATTTGAACAAATGTATAAAGAATCTCACACCTCAATATTTAAAAATCATACAAACTTTTATTTACTTGTACGTTTTCATTTATTATTTGATAAATAAAATGTTCTTGTAATCTCTTATTTTGTAGAATTTTTGATGTAATTTTTAAATGTGCGAGTATAAGTTTTATTTTTTATTTCTGTATCAATCTTTAAATAAAATAAATTTAAAAAATTTAAAATTTTACTTTGTTTTATGTAATGTGACACTTTTTTTAAAAAAAATGAGAAGAGTGATCCAAATTAGATACTATACCCACCTACTGGCCCATGTATACACATTAGACTAGTCAGTAGAGGTAGAGGCAACCAAATTGGTCATCGAGTCCAAGCCCAAACCAATAGAAAGAATTGAGAGTCCAAGCCCTTATACTGGTGGACATAGAGAGTAGACTGGCCCGGAAAAGGGATGAAGTCCAGACCAAACCAAGCCCATCTAGAGTTGGGTAAGGGCGGGAGAGTACAAATATTTTCTCGTCTTCAATACAAAGACCATCTAGAAAAAGAGTTTGGCATCATAACTGGTCTCAAGAGTAAAATTTGGAACAAGAGATCAATAATCGACTCTTATCACTGACAGTGTGGGAGCAACTACTCAAAAAATGAAGGGCCTCCTTGTGCCCAGTCTCTGTTGGCGATTGAATCACCATAATCTACATGTTCTCACAATCTCGTCGAGCAGGGGGTAAGGGGCGCCTGAGGAGAGCGACTTCATCTTTTGAAACAAGAAAAAGATATGTTTGTCCATGCTCCAGCAAAAAGAGATTGAGAAACTTTGGAAGTGACAGAAAAATCACCCTGAATCTCTTCTAATAGGACCCACAAATGTCAAATTGGAAAATAAATTTTTAACAAAAAGATTCAAAAATTCTACCGAGCAGGTATAGATACATAACAAATTACTTACCAAAACATGCATATGTTCTCTTTTTAGTTGACCGATTTTGATTTAAAATATTTTATTATAATACGGAGTATCATTAATTTATTTGAAGATTGTTGAAAAAAATTAAAATATAAAGTATATAGTTAAAAATGATATACTCCGTATAAGATTCAGAAATCTCAAGCCCGAAAGGAAAAACCCAAAAGCTCGCATGGATTGCAATTGTTTTCTTTTTATTTCACCGATTTAGATTTTAAAATGTTTTATTGGAATTATTTTTAATTTATTTTTAGATTGTTGAAAAAATTGATGTATATAATTTAAAATGATATTAAAAAAATCTAGGAGTCCCAACCCCAAAAGAAAATCCAAAAATCACAATTGAATATGAGAAAAAAAGCTACTCCGTAATTTTTTTCTATTAAGGGAAAATAAATGTATTTAGCCAATGGGAAAAAAGTTAAAAAAACGCTAGAGGAAGGGGTTGAACCTTCGACCTTGTGGTTAACAGCCACACGCTCTAACCAACTGAGCTACTCCAGCTGCTTGGCAACCTTCTATCCTTGATATATCTTTTATTTTGTTAAGAAAAGTCAAAACACTTGTTATACATGCCAAAATGAATTCCCCAAATTTTGTGGGAAAAAAAATAATATCTTGAGAAAGACTTCCTCAAAACCTATTGTCATATAGATCCAGTTTGGTGATTTTAACTTTCAATTACGGAGTATAAAGTAATTTTCACGACATCTCTATTACCTCTTTTGAGCCCCGAATTCGTTACATTGTTATACTGAAACTAGTTGGTGTAGAGTTTAGACATAGTCACATAGAAATCATAGGATAGAATATCGTAAGATCTTCAAATGATATTAGTGTCATATTATGACATCTACGAGTGGCGTTGATAGAACTCTAACGTAATTGTGGTTCTAAATATGCAATCAAAATAGAACTTGAACAATAAAAAAACTCATCCAGCAAATACAAGTTGAAAGCTAAAGTTTTTTCTTGAACACTCAATAGTTCTAATAGTCTAATCAAGATCGATCAATCTGATGAGTTGCATTTCGTTACTATTTGCAAGATCACAAAATATATAAACTACTACTCCACTCACCATTTTTGATTTGGATTCGATTATCCAATTTATCGTTTCCGATTAAAAACGAGAGTCGTGTCTACTCATATTCTCCTAACAACAAGCGTATCAATTCTTTGTTAGATCTTAACGTTGAGATGTTATTTGTAAGATGAAGCATTAACATAAGTTTCATAACCCTATTAAACACCTTTTAATTAACATTGATAATATTTTCAATTGTTTTCTTCTACACTAGTGCTTCCTCAAACGAAAAAATAAATATAAAAAGTCTTTTTTTAAAAAAAATAAATAAAAAAGGCCTTTTTTGGCCATGACAAGACTTCCTCATACATGTTACAACTATCACATCTACTTACTTATATGGGCCATCACATGATATTAGTATATGACGACCACTTAATTCTGGCGACTCTAGCTTCGGCGGAGGCCGTCGGCGGCTGCGGCGATTCTTGATTTAACGCTCTCAAACTCCGATACCCGGCAAGGAATCCGGATCCCGCCGGGCTGATCGAACCCATAGACGGTCTCGGCCTGCTTCAACAGACTGGCGAAGAGAGGGTGGTTGAAGTAGACGACCGGCACCACCGCCCTGCACGCGGCACCCTCCGCTTCCCCCACGTAAACCGCCAAGTGTCCCACCGGCACGCCCTCCTTCTCCGGCTCCTGCCCGACCCGGACATACCACCACCGCCGGCGTTTCAGCGATCTGGCGGCGTTCCTCAAGAACCGCCGCCCCAGGCTACAGAGCCCCGCTCCGGCGGGTTCCTCCATGAGAACCGATCTGTAGTGGGTTGGGGGTGTGTGGGTATTTATTTATAGTCGGGATTCGGCGAGAGAAGTGTTTGGATTTCTCTGTGGGGAATTATGTCGAACAGGTTGAGGGTTGGGGGCAGAATGGGGAAATTAAAGAGCTGAGTGAGCTAAGAGAGAAGAATGTGGGAGGGAATGAAAGAGAGAGAGGGAGGGAGGAGGTGCCATTTCTAGATGGAGTGGAAGCAGAGAGAATTGCAGAGCTTTGTCTCTTTCATTTACTACTCTGCTAAATTACGTGTTTCACTAGCAATTTTCATACTCTGTCACCCCCGCCCCGGCCCCCTTCAGCGACGCTATTCAAGTCACAATTTAGAGCCTCGGAGTTGGTCTAGTAACGCTCCTTTGGCCTTAATTTTACTAAGCGAGCGTCTCAACCAATTACTTATACATCAGTTGCTTACACCAGTTTGTTTAGAATACCTATAGTGCTCCGTTTGTAAAAACGACGGTTCCTACCACTCTAACGCCTCCCCCTAAATCCCCCACCCCAGCCTCCCCTCCCGCCCCTCTCCCTACCCTGACAGTACATTGCCTGGCAGTGTACTGCTAGGGTAGGGAGGGGGGCGGGAGGGGGGGCAGGCAGTGTACTACCAGGGTAGGGAGAGGGGCGGGAGGGGAGGCTGGGGTGGGAGGCAAGGGTGGGGCTGGGGTGGGGGGTTTAGGAGATGGTTAGGGGTAGGAACCGTCGTTTTTACAAAGAGAGCACCGTAGGTCCTCTAAACGGACTGGTGTAAGCAAATGACACCAATAGCATTGAGGTCATTTTAGACTTACCGTTTAACTAATGCAAGAAATTTACGTCTTGTTTGAGAAGAACGTTTTCAATTAATGTTAGCGTTTTGGATAAATACTAACAACGTAGATTAATTCAGAAAACACTAACGCTAAAAGCTACCGTCAAATATTCTTTCCAAACTGCTAACACTGACGCCAAACGGGGCCTTACCAAATTTGACGTTTAGAGTTTGATACCATGTACTTGTATGGACATTTACCGACAATTATTCTTTACATGTCACATATAATGAATATCTCCACGTGTCTGTAAAACGTTTGGTGTCAAACTCTTGGTATCAATTTTGACAAGTTTCTAGCTTATTTTTTTTATTAGAATCTACTCTCTCCGTTCATCAAAATGATTCTTATTTTGACTAATGAGAAAAAAATAAAGATTGTAGTTGACTTTCCAATTTTGCCATT